CACACCAGGACTCCACTAGGTATATAGAAAGTATTTAATAGTAGGCCTTGAGAAATTGTGTTTCATAATGGTAAATGTTCATCATTATTCAAAAACTTGAAGGTGATTGGTGTTCAATCACCTTTAGATTCCTTGAAGTCTTCCGTGAGACAGGTAGATCGATGTCCATTTATCTTTCCTGTTTCATTCAGTGATTCCTTCTGCATGCTATGCATAAGGCATTGAACAGGTTATATTCTCTACCCCCAAATATCTTACAGTTAAATGGGAGAAGAAGGCTGTAAGTAAGTACAGTACAAAGTTGCTGTGAAAAACTCTGGGAGGGGTGACCTGTCCCAGTCTTTAAAGAATCTAGAAAAGCTTCCTGGAGGCAATCATATCTAAATTAAGAACATTAGGAATTAGATAATGAAATGCTGCCAGATCATAAAAAGGCCTGTAAAGGAGCCCTGGGTTAAGTATTGCCCTGCCAGCTTCAACATCAGTGGTTCAAACCCAATTACTGTTCTTAGGGAGACAGATGAGGCTTTCTGCTCTTAAGAATATTTATAGTCTCCAAAATGCTAGATGGGGTTGCAGTGAATCTGACTTGACTCAGTAGCATTGAATTTGGTTGGAAGCCATTTATATAAAGTATTTTCATTTTATATAAATCAGTAGAAGTGAATGATCTCTTATGGAGGCACCTTTAAGTTTCAGATACTCATCTTTGCAGATAATTTTTTGTTGGTTACTGTTTTCTATGCTGGATTTGCATAAGGATTATGTTTGCTTGTGAGAATAGTAGCTTTCCATTTTACCTTTGATTTTTATCAGACTTTTGATGGTTTACTCTTATCAGCCAACCACAGAAACTTGGCAGCTTATCTTTGGGTTTACAGAACACTGTCTAATCATAATGACTGAAGTAATAGATAAATTAGATTTCCTTTGCAAGCTTTGTCAAAGAATCTGTGCTTGTTTATAATATACCCGTGAATAAGGTCATTGTACTGGCTATGAAATTGGCAGGCTCTTAAGTGGAAATGGAGTTGATTCCTAACTGGCACACTTGTTGAATGAACTCATTCACATCCAGCCTATAGGTACAAACTATACATATACATTTTGTATTACTTAGCTCTGGTAGCGTAGTGGTTACGAATCGGGCTGCAAACCTTAAGGTCAGCGGTTCGAAACTACCAACCGCTCCGCGGGAGAAAGATGAGGCTTTCTACTCCCGTAAAGATTTACACCCTAGGAAACCCTGTACAGGGTCGCTATGGGTCGGACCCGACTCGATGGCACTTAACAACAACAACAACAGACAGATCCTAAGTTCTAGAAGATTGAATTTTCTATATATACTTTCCTGCTATTATGTAACTTTAGTATCTTAATCAATTTTAATGACTTGCATACTAAATTTTGGACTTATAACAACTTTGACTTAATGTTTTATCACCTTTCATTTCTAGAACAACTGATCTCTGGCTGGGCAACAGAATCATCAGTGAAACTTTTTTAAGGACATAGATTCCTGGTGCCTATTTCAGACCCATTGAGTCACAATATTTGGAGTTGTTGTTAGGTGCCATCGAGTAAGTACTGACCCATAGCAACCCTATGCACAGCAGAACGAAGAGAGACCCTGAAATCTAACATCCCAAACAGCAACGAATATTATAAAATATATCAAAATGATTCTGATATCTGTTGAGAATTGCAGGTTATTTCCTTTGTTGGTTGGTTATGTACCATGGAGTTGGTTCCAATTCAGCGACCCTGTACAGGGTTTCCAAGGCTGTAAATCTTTAAGGGAGCAGAAAGCCTCATCTTTCTCCCACGGAACAGCTGGTAGTTTGGAACTGCTGACCTTGCAATTCGCAGTCCAATTCATAACCACTATGCTACCAGAGCCTTAGAAGTTTGAAATTAGAGATTTTTACTTTGATTCTTTTTTTTTGCCTCCTTTTTAATATGGGTGGTCCCTAGATTATGAACACATGCCATTCCCAAGTCTGTCTTTAAGTTGAATTTGTACATACTTTGGAAAAGTAGCTAGCATTAGTTAGTGTTTGTCTTAGTGTATGAGAGAACTTCAAAAAGTTCATGGAAAAACTCCCTTATCTTTTAATTCCTTTTTTTTGTGAACTTTCTGATGTCCCTGTATATCACTATTCTATACTTTTTATGCATAAAAAAAAGTCCAAGAAGCAATTCCAGACATATTAAAACATCTTTAACTTAATAATACAGTAGTAATAATAACATTTTGATGCTTGTCACAAAATAGTACCAATTCATTATTAAGAACCGTTGTATATATGTACCTGGAGTTATTAATATAATAGGCTTTGTGAGGTTATTCTTAACATAAATTCAACATTCATAACCTGGAAACTACCTGTAGTAATCTTGTCCCTAAAACTTTTCTCTAACTGAAGAATGGGGAGAGTAAATTAAGAATAAGGAAAAGCAGGAACTAAGCTAACACAATGGGTGCCCGAGAATTGGGAAAAAAAAACTATAAAATAATTCTTATTTTGAATCAGACGCACTTCAACAACTGTGTGGCAGGCAGTGTTCTAGGTGATGGAAATGTAGTATTAAATAGTTGAAGGCAGGGCAGGCAGTGTTCTAGGTGATGGGAATGTGGTATTAAATAGTTGAAGGCAGGGCAGGCAGTGTTCTAGGTGATGGGAATGTGGTATTAAATAGTTGAAGGCGGGGCAGGCAGTGTTCTAGGTGACGGGAATGTGGTATTAAATAGTTGAAGGCGGGGTGACCAAAGAGTAGACTGTCATTAAGTGTCATTGAGTTGGTTCTACTCATAGCGACCTTGTATAGGGTTCCCAAGGAGTGGCTGGTGGGTTTGAACCATAGACCTTATGGTTAGCAGTCCAGTGCTACACAGGACCCCAAGAGTAGACTAGCAAATCATTACATAAAGTAATTTGAGATAGTATTAAGCACTGTGAGGAAGATAAAAGGACATAATACACATAATGTGACTTGAGTAAGGTGCTTGGGTGGTGCACATGGTATCCGATCATTGAAATGTGTTATAGGTATTAATGATTTCATAATATTTGTGTACAGTAAAACTCAACTTGGAAATTACTTACTAATTCAAGATGTTTTGATTAGGAAGAACCACTGTTGTTTTTTTGTTTTGTTGTTGACTTTTAGATTTTAGTAAATTATAAGCTAGACATAAGCATCCTAAAATAGCAATTCAAAACAGTAACAGATATTTATTTTGTTCATGAATTAGAGGTAGAAAAGGGTTCAGCTCAAGACTTCTCATGTTTTCAGTCAGGTTGTGGCAAAGTCTTCTTCAAGGCTGTCATTTGTAGCATCTTTGTTGTTGTTAAGTGCCGTCGCGTCGGTTCCAACCCAGCAACCATGTACAGGGTTTCCAAGAAGCAACTAGTGAGCTTGAACAGCCAACCTTGTAGTTCAAATGGCTTTGCAGTCTGGCACATTAACTCACCTAGGACTGGAAAAATTGTTCAGACCTCTCTCTCTTTCTCTCTGGAATCTAGACCCATATTTGCCATGTGTCTTAGAGTAGCCAGATTTCTTGCATGCTAACCAAAGACTTTGGAGAGATTATCCTAAGAGAAACCAGCAGAAGTTGAGTGGGGTTTTCTTATTTAGCTTTGGAAGTCATGTGGTCATTTCTGTCACATTCTGTGTTGAGGCAGTTTAAGTGGTCCACTCAATTTCAAGTGGAGGGGATATAGACTCTGCATCTTGATGGGAAGTATGTCAAATAATTTGCATACATGTTGTAAAGTGACTACATTACTGAATCTCTCATTATATTGAATTCTTTTAAGTTCAGTAATCATCCCCCTGTAAAAATGTTGTTCAATAGTAACATACTTTTGGATTGTTGACAGTTCAAAACCACCAGCTGTTCCTTGGAAACTATAGGGTCACTGAGTTGGAACGGACTCGAAGGCATTTAAAAACAGCAGCAAAATGTCTTTGGATTTATTAATGTATTATTTAATTGGTATTTTTCTTCATCTTGTTAAAATTGTTTTTTAAATTGTAAGCTTTATTTTTGTCATACTTGCTATTGTTGGTGTTAAGTGCCATCAAGTCGATTCCAACTCATAGCGACCCAGTACTTCTGAGGAGCAACTGGTGAGTTTGAACTGCTAAACTTGTGGTTCAAACTGACCATGCTGTCCTACAGTGCCACACTGACTCTAAAAGTCATCATATGGCCTCATTACTTTTCACAGGTACCTCATTAAATACTATAATAATATATCAAGTGATTAATAAAATATTGAAAACAGTAGAATCTTTACAAATTTGTAATTGTTCACAGGTCTATAGACATATTTAAAGGTACCAGAATTTTTCCTTTAGTGGTATTTATTTGTTGGAATGAGTCCTAAATTTGTTGGATGATAAAATAAAAATTTGAAGTGCCTGAAGAGCTTAGTACTTTTATAGAATTTGTGTCTTGTGTATTTATATTTTGCAAACAGCAATAAGTGTTTCACTTTAAAAATTTTTAGGCTATCTGGAATTTTATAATTTGTTTCTTTTATTGGGATCTAATAAGAAAGGACACATATTGCATTTTATTTTTTATATGAGTAGGTTTAATAACTGCCAAAATGCATGATCCTCATTGCTGGCTCTGTATTATTCATCTTGAGAGCTTTGAAAAATGCCTATGGCGCTGTGGGGTAAAACACTGGGCCACAAGGTCGATTTGAACTACAAGGTTGGTGATTCAAACTCCCTAGTCGCTTCTTGGAAACCCTATACAGGGTCACTATAAGTTGGAACCGACTCGAAAACACTTAACAACAGCAACAACATGCATGAGTCCAACTCTCGGATGTTTTGATTAATTGATTTGGGGTATGGTCTGATGATAGGTATCTTTTGCAGTTCTTTAGGATTCTAATACAAAGCCAGTTTGGGAATCCAGACACATCAAACTGTAGTATTTACCGTTGCTCCTCTTGGTCTCTATTACAGGACAAAAAATGGAAGGCCTGCCTGATGCTGCTGCTTTTTCTACTAAGCTTAAAAACACTCTCATTAACTACCATAGCATTGAAGATGATAAATGGAGAGTTGCTAAGAAAACGGTAAATTAGTTAAATTACCAGTGTTTGGAGTTTGTCTTCTTTCTAAAGAGTTGGTTGTTGTTTTTGTTAAATGCTGTAAAGTTGGTTCTGACCCAGAGTTACCCTGTATAGAGTTTCCAAGGAGCAGCTGGTGAGCTTGAACTGACAACCTTGCAGTTCTAATGGATTTGCAGTCTGGTGGATTAACCCACAGCGCCACACCAGAACTCCAAAGAATTGGTAGATGTCTTTAAAATGGAACAAGATATTAACAACAGACCATACTTTGGATGGATGTACAAATGATAGATAATTGTGCAAATAGACTGGATGGTGTAACATCTCATAAAAAAAGACACCTCAGTAGTAATCCTATGCTGCTTTCATTTGCTTCTTAAGCTATTAGACATGAAAATAGACTCATCCCAGCAAGAGTCTAAATTATAGGTTCTTATGTCAGCAAATAAAATGTGTAGTTACCTGCTTAGGGCATGTAGTAATTTATGGTTTGGAATAGTTCAGCTATATCAACAAGCTTGTGAGGTAGCCATTTAATATTCTTTTTTACCAATATGACTTACCCAAACTATCACATGACAGGATGTTGACAGAGCAATCCTAGGATCCAGGAATCTTCTGGTTAGGTGATCAGGCTGTTTTGATTCAAAATTACTTGGGAAATGATCAGATAAGAAAAACAAAACTTGAGACTAATTCAAGGTTGCACTGTTAAATACATGTGAACTGGTTAATTTTTAAATTATATTACCAAGTTCAGAGGGATGTTTAGTGTCACTTATGTCATGATCTGAATGTGTCAGTAATGCTATAGGTAATATTGGAATAAAACAAATAATGACTATTAAGATAGTAACATCACTAAATCGAGCAGTGTTTGAGTCTTTAATAAGTTACTGAATCATTGAGTACTGTCATTAACATCATATGAAAGTGAACTTTTGCTTAAGATAATTAAAAATGGTTGCAGCAGTACATTGACAGGGATCTGCTAGAAATTCAAGCCAGGTTCAGAAGAGGACATGCAACAAGGGATAGGCGTTGCTAACGTCATATAGATCTTGACTGAAAGCAGATAATAACAGAAAGATGTTTACTTGGGCTTTATTGACTATGCAATGGCATTCAACTATGTGGATCATAACTAACTAAGGATAACATTGTGAAGAGTGGGGATTCCAGAACACTTACTTGTGCTCATGAGGAACTTGAACATAGATCAGGAGGCAGTCATTCTAACAGAACAAAGGAGAAATGGAATGATTTTAAATCAGAAAGTGTGCTTCAGGGTTGTATCCTTTTACCATACTTATCAAGTCTGTACACTCAGCAAATAATTCAGGAAGCTGGATTATATGAAGAAGAACGTGGCATCAGGATTAGAGGAAGACCTGCAACATACAGTTAGTACATCTTTGTTTTCTAGAAGCGAGGGAACTTAAAATACTTAACTGTTGAAGAGTAAAGACTACAATCTTTAGTATGAATTGCTCAGTATAAAGGAAACAAAAATCCTCACAACTGGCCCAGTAACATGATAAACAGAGAAAAGATGGGATTTGTGAAAGACTGCATTTAGCTTGGATCCACAATCCATACTCATGGAAGCAGCAGTTAAGAAATCAAAGGCCATTCTCATTAGGCAAATCTTCTGCAAGAGATCTCTCTAAGTGCAGAGATGTCAGTTTGAGGACTAAGGTGTGCCTGACCCAAGCTTCATTTGTATCTGAAAGCTGGACAGTGAATAAGATGACCATAGAATACTCGATGCATTTGAATATGATGTTGGCAAAGAATATTCAAAGTACCACAGACTGCCAGAAAAACAAAAATAATCTGACTTGGAAGAAGTTTTGCTGGAGTAGAATGTTCCTTCTTAGAAGCAAGGATGGTGAGATTGCTTTGAATATGTTATCAGGAAGGATCAATCCCTGCGAAGACATCATACTTGGTAAAGTGGAAGGTCAAAGAAAGAGAGGAAGACACCCAGTGAGGAGAATTGACAGTAGCAACAACAATGGGCTCAAACATACGGACAATTGTGAGGATGGTGAAGGACCAGGCAGTGTTTTCTTCTGTTTTGCACAGGGTTGCTATGAGCCAGAACTGACTAGATGGCATCTAAAAACAAGAAGTTACTGAAATCTTTTTTGAAAGTCTGTAATTTAGGTAAAATGTGAAGAACTTTGGAATACAGAAGAAATTCAAATATGGGTAACTTGATATAAATGCTTTTTATTCATCTTTTTGAGAATTTGCTTATGTGTTATTTTAATACAAAAGCAAGTACTCTTTCCTACTAAAGTATTAGTTTTATATCCAGGGTTCAGTGAATGTAATTATCATATGCTGTTTTTATTTTTCCAGAAAGATGTGACTGTTTGGAGGAAACCTTCAGAAGAATTTAGTGGCTATCTGTAAGTCAATACTTTAAATTTATATAATCCTTAGGCATTGCTAAATTTCATATATACATATATCTAAATTGTCATTGGCAGTAAATTTTGGCTTTTGCTTTTTAGATATTAAACTTTCTGCAAAGTAAATTGTCATTTTAATTAGAGCCTTAAAAATAATTATGTGCTTTGTAGACTGAGTTCTTGGTGAGGGGATCATAAATAATGGTACCTGATATTCCTTAGCATGCTATACAAGACCCTTTTAATACTATGTGTTTAGTGAGTGCAGTATACTTTATTCTAAGAACTTATCTGAAGTCACCAGAAAGACAGTACTAATTTAAGTGTGCAGCTGTTCTCTCATGACACTCTTTGTAATATTAACAATTATAATGTACCTGAGTAGCTACTGGTGGTGGTGGTGGTGGTGGTGGTGTGCCATGGAGTAGTCAGGGAATTATTAGATTATGAAAATATCTGTAATAGATCATATTTGGTCCCTCCTGATGGCTCCATCAAAGGTCGGTTCTGACATCAGTCAAATACCTCTTTTTTTAAAGCTCAGTTTGAATCTCAAGGTCGGTGGTTCGAGATCACCAGCTGCTCCTCACAAACCCTATACAGGGTTGCTGAGTCAGAACCTACTTGACGGCACTTAATAATACCAATAAACCTTTTATTAATCAGTATTTTTACAAATCCAGTCTTTGCCTTTGGAGGTTGAAAACATTACATATATTAAATACATATATATAGTTATGTTTGAATACATATATACATAAAAACAGAGTCCCTGGTGTGGGGCTGTAAGATAAGCACTAGACTGCTAACTACAAGGTAAACAGTTCAAACCCATCAGCTGTTCCATAGGATCACTATGAGTCAGAACTGACTTGACTCCACAACACTTAGCAATAATAGCATACATAAAAATACTCAGATTAAAAAAATGTATTCTGATGATGACGAAGAATTGGAAGACACTGGCATTTTGTCAGTTGCTATAACTGTGGAATGTTCTGGATTATCCCTGGGAATGAGGATGGCATTTCCGAGTAGTGGTGGGTGGGTTTGAACTGCTAACCTTGCAGTTCAAACCGACCTTGCAGTCCAGTGCTGTTCCTACAGAGCCACACCAGGACTCCAAATATTCACCTCTGTATGATGGTAAGAGACCACCAGCTGCTCCATGGGTGAAAGATGAGGCTTTCTACTTCCACAGAGATTTACAGCCTCAGAAACCCTAAATAGAGTTGCTATGAGTTTGTACCGACTCAACAGCACCTAACAATAACAACAACAACAACATATGGTGGTATTTTCCCCCCCTTGTTTTGGTATTTTCTTATGGTGAACATGAATTATGCCTACCACCAGGAAAAAAAATTTCTTAAAGCCAGTGAAGACAATTGCTTTGTGTAATTGGAATAAGGATGTCCACATCCCTGAAACTTTTTAAACTGAAATTGCTGGTCTTATCAATGGAAAAAGGACTTTGTCAAGGACTTCGTTCTTCTTGGATCAACTATCAATGCTCATGAAGGCAGCAGTCAAGAGATCAGGCGGCGTATTGCATTGGGCAAATCTGCTGCACAGGACCTTTTTAAAGTGTTGAAGAGCAAAGATGTCAGCTTGAGGACTAAGGTGTGCCTGACCCAAGCCATGGTATTTTCAATAACCTCATATGCATGCAAAAGCTGGACAGTAAATAAGGAAGACTGTAGAATAATTGATGTATTTGAGTTATGGTGTTGGAGGGGAGAATATTGAAAGTGCCATGGCTGCCAAAAGAACCAACAGATCTGTGTTGGAAGAAGTGCAACCAGAGTGCTCCTTGGAGGCCAGGATGGCCAAACTTCATCTTTCATACTTCGGACATATTGTCAGGAGGGACCAGTCGCTGGAGAAGGATATCATGGTTAGTAAGGTGGAGGGTCAGAGAAAAAGAGGAAGGCCCCAGCGAGATGGATTGGCAAAGTGGCACCATCGACTCAAGTGTGGCAACAATAGTGAGGTTGGCCCAGTTTCGGGCAGTGTTTCGTTCTCCTGTGCCTAAGGTCGCTATGAGTTGATACTGACTCGATGGAACCTAACACCACCACCAACAGCTTAGTATATACAGAATATTCTGTAGTGTAATGATAGCATTTTACATTTAAGAAAACATGTTGATAAAACATGGTTACAGATGAGTTCTGTCTACAGGAATAAGCGCTCTGATGGCAAAATGGTTAAGTGCTTAGCTGCTAACTAAAATGTTATCAGTTTGGGCCCAGTAGCCACTCTGCATGAAAAAGATGTGACAGTCAGCTTCCTAAAGGCGTGGAAAACCCTATGGGGCCATTTCTGCACTGTCCTGTAGGGTCGCTTTGAGTCTGGATCAACTTGATGGCAATGGATTATGGGAATGAAAAAGAATTAAAGTTGTGTCTCAGATTTCTAATTTGAATGATTGGACTCATTTGTGTTACACCTAGAGGAAAGAATAGATAGAGGGTGGAGGAGATAATATATGTTTGGGCTTGAGATGCTTACAAACTGATTAAATCACTTCAGATTCTTATTTAAAGCCACAAGTCTCCCCTCTCCTTTTCCTTCTTCCCTTCTCAAAGTAACTACTCTGTCAAAGTTGTACGGTTTATTCCTGCTTCCGATTTTGACAACATATTTATATATAGTGGTGCTATAGGATAAGCACTGCACTGCAGAGTCGGTTTGAACTGTAAGGTCTGCTGTTAAAACTAACCAGCTGCTCTTCAGAAACTCTATACAGGGCCGCTGTAAGTCGGAACCAACTCAACTGCACTTAAAAACAGCAAACAATAAAAGAATTATTTTACATGCTTTTCATTTTCATATGAAAGTACATATATATTAATACATATCTATACATATATGTGTGTATATATATATATATATATATATATATATATATATACACATACATATATATGAGGAGCTCTGGTAGCGTAGTGGTTATGAATCGGGCTGTGGACTGCAAGGTCAGCAGTTCAAAACTACCAGCTGTTCCGCGGGAGAAAGATGAGGCTTTCTGCTCCCGTAAAGATTTACAGCTGCAGAAACCCTACTATACAGGGTCACTATGATTCGGAATCGACTCCATGGCACATAACAATAACAACAACATGCATATATAGATTTATATCTGTTAGTCAGTCCTTTAGTATTTTGCTTCTAATTTTCTCACATGTATATATACTCTTTCATTTGTATATGAATGTAACAAAAGGTGCTTTTACAAATTTAACTATTAATAAATATTATTAATAAATAGATTATATTCAGTTCTTCCTTATAAAGTACTATATAGCAAGCCTCCATATAGTAACTGTAGTAATGCATGTTGTTTGATGTTTGTTGTTGTTGTTAAGTGCCATCAAGTCGATTCCGACCCATAGCGACCCTGTACAGGTTTTCCGAGGAGCAGCTGGTGAGCTTGAATCACCGACCTTGCAGTTATATGGCTTTGCAGTTTGATGTTAAGTTGATGTTAAGTACTGTCGAGTTGGTTCCGAATCATAGTGACCCTGTGCAGGGTTTCCAAAGCTGCAAATTTGGGGGGAAGCAGAAAGTCTCATCTTTCTCCCATAGGTGGACTCAAACCACCCACCTTGTGTTTCATAGTCCAGTGCTTATCATTCAGAGCAACTGAGCTCTGTGTGATTATATGCCTGTAATTCCTGGGTCAGATATATATTTATTATCTAATTTTATTTTGTTGTTATTAAGTACTGCAAAGTGGGATTTTCAAGGAGCAGCTAGCTGGTGGGTTTGAACCACCTAACCACCGGCCTTGTGTTTCGCAGTGCAGTACTCATCCTACAACGCCACATCAGGAGTCCTCCAACTTTATTGTTGTTGTTAAGTGCCGGCGAGTCAGTTCCAACCCATAGCAACCCTGAACAGGGTTTCCAAGGTTGGAAATCTTTACGGGAGCAGAAAGCCTCATCTTTCTCCCACAGAGCAGCTGGTAGTTTCGAACTGCTGACCTTGCAGAACCCGCAGCCCGATTCATAACCACTACGCTACCAGAGCTCCCATCTTTATAAGGCATTGCTAAATTGCTTTCCAAAAGTGGTCTTAAAACAATTTGAGAGTTCTCATAACCCTGCATTCAGTACTTAGTGATTACTAAGTATCAATCTCTGCCAGTATGTGGTATGAAATAATGTTTTTGACATTTTATTAGTAGTCAGTTGACTAATAACTAGTGAAGTTGGGAAGCTTTTCTATGTTTCATTTTCAAGTTTCCTTTTGAGTATCTTAACGCATTCTTTGCCCATCCTTTTTTGGATTGTGTGCCTTTTTCTCGTTGGCTTATGTTGTTAAGTGCCGGCAAGTCAGTTCCAACTCATAGCAACCCTGTATAGAGTTTCCAAGGAGCAGCTGGTGAGTTTGAACTGCTAACCTTTTGGTTCAAACCTACCTTACGGTCCATCGCTTTATCTCACCAGGACTCCCATTGGCTTATAGTAATTATATACTCTCATTATACTTATGTTGATATGTATTACATGTATCTTCTCCTGGTTTGTAGCTCGTTTCCAGTTTTTTTTTGTTTATGCTTATATTGTTGTTGTTAAGTGCCATCGAGTCGGTTCTGACCCATAGCGACCCTGTACAGGATTTCCGAGGGTGTAAATCTTCATGGGAGTAGAAAGCCTCATCTTTCTTCTATGCTTATATTAGGGACTTTTAAATATTAAACAATCTTTTGAATCTTTTGTGTTTTTCTGTGGCTTTATATACTTAAAAATCCCCTGTACTCTGAGGTCACAAAGATAGTCCTTTGTATTTTGTGCTGTAAATACTGCATTTTACATTGTAGTTGTTATTACATTGTAGTTGTAAGGAGTAACAGATAGGCTTGAGCTGCTCACCTTGTGGTTAGCAGTCCAATGCTTATCCTACCATGCCACACCAGAGCTCCGTAGAGGTCTTTATATCTAGATTAGTTATTTTGAGTAATGTGAAGTAGCGATCCAACTTTTGTCCTTTTTCCATAAGGATAACTCTTGACTTCAAACATTGTTTATGGAATAATACATATTTTCCCCAGTGACTTGTAACGCTACTTCTGATATTATTTATGAGTCAGTTCCTGGGTGTTCTATTCTTCTGTCCTATTTATCTGTTCCTTATAAAAAACTTTTAAAAGTCAGGGCACAGATATGCTTTGAGCAATAATTAGGGGATAACTGAGTAAATAATACCATGCAGATAAGTGGAAGCATTACAGTGCTCTATAGACAGCTTCCCACCACATAATTCATGAAGGGATGTCTCTAATATGGCCTTCATTCTTCTCATTGTTTTGAGGACAAAGAGTTTACTCTGATTAAAAAAAAAAAAAAAAGTTGATAGAGCTTAATTTATCAGACTAATTGGGGGATTTACTCCCTTTAATGGTGTCCTGGTGTAGCGCTGTGGGTTAATGCACTGAACTGTCAAGTCAGTATGAACTTCCAGGTCGGCGGTTCAAGCTTACCAGCTGCTCCTTGGAAACCCTCTACAGGGTCATTATGGGTTAGAAGTGACTCGATGACACTTAACAACAGCAGCAACTCCCTTTAATAAAACTTACTTTTACTCTTTCTTTCTGGGGTTAGCTCTGAACTGTGAGGGCATGCTGAAATGTTTCATTCTAATAGCATTTGACTTTAATTTTGTTTCTCCAGCTACAAAGCCCAAGGTGTGATAGATGACGTTGTCAATAGTGTAATAGACCACATACGCCCTGGGCCGTGTCGCTTAGATTGGGACAGCCTAGTGACTTCTTTGGATATATTGGAGCACTTTGAAGAGGTATTTCTTTAGTAACATTACTTCAGAATGTGTGTGTGTGTGTGTGTATGAGAGAGAGAATGCATGCTTGTGTGCGTACTTGTGTCCATTGTATGCTTTGCTTCGGAATAAGTAGCCATGCAAAGACCTCAGGGGGAATCTTGTGCTGCCTTTTAGAATGCGTGCATTTCCTCATATTAATTAATGAGTGTTCGTTAGAACTGAGTTTCTCACAGTAGTCTTACTCTGTTACTTAAGAAAATCTTTAGAATCATTAACTCTTGTAGTTTAAGTCTTAAATGTAAAGTTCTGAAAATACTGCCACATGCCTCTCTGGATTTTATCTTAAACACTCTACGACAGTTTGCAGATATCAGATGGGATACAAGGCTGCTGTAATGAATTAGAGATTAGGATCCTACAAAACTTAACAGTCTTTATTTTGATTATATATCCTCACCATGGAATCCTGGTGTGGCTTTGTAGGATAAGGACTGCACTGCTAACCATGATGTTGGCAGTTCAAACACACTAACTGCTCCTCAAAAAACCTATATGAGTCAGAACCAACTCGATGGCTCTTAATAACAACAACAATCCTCTCCACGTCTATTTGGTAGTCCCAGAGTAAGAATCTCGTTATGAGAATCACTGCTGGAATTATTATCAAAAATAATTATGAAGCATTGTAAATGATAATTTAAACATTTTACTTTTAACTAAATACGAACATAAAATATAAATTCCATGTATGTGGTTCCTATAGTAATAGCAATTGCCTTACGAGACGACTCCTCTGTTTTAGAATTGCTGTGTGATCCGTTACACTACTGCTGGTCAGCTGTGGAATACCGTTTCCCCAAGAGAGTTTGTTGATTTCTCCTACACTGTGAACTATAAAGAAGGGCTTTTATCCTGTGGTAAGAATCTTAAAACTGTGTACTTTCTTTCATTTTGATCTAAATATGTGCGTTTTCTAGCTCAGTGTTTCTTTCCATGTAAGTTTTATTTTCACCCTTCATAGTTACTATGTAATTACTAAGATTTATTTGCAAATACTGAACCCTAAGGCAGTAAACTAATATTTTCAAAAAGGGTTTTGAATTTTTTTTCTGAATAGTTTTGGCCCTAGTACATGGTATCCTCCAAATTTGGGTCACATGACTGCTTCCAAGAAAGGAATTTGGTAAATAGATTTGTTTTCAAGCCACTCTCAGAAAACAGCTTCTTGGTCAATTAAAAATAGACTTATTGCTCATTGGAATATTTTTCCTTACTCTAATTATATAGTATTTTATTTTTCAAGATTAAAAGCATTGTCATTGGAAAGCTCTTGCTCTGTAAATTATACCTATAGATAAATATTTTTCTTCTGCTATAGTATATACTTGAATTGGCAGCTGTAGATAAATAGCTACTTGTTTATTATTAACCAGCCAATACCACAATTAAATATGTTAATACCTGTGGTAACATAGGTGTGATTATTGGTACCTTGAGGCCTGGCTGCTACCACCAAGATTCAAAGTTTCAAAGAGTTACAAAAAAATGACGTGATATCTCTACTCTGAAGGGATTAGAACTTTCCTTATTACACATCTACCAGCTCTCTGTCATTATTCTACATGGTAATTATCCTTTTCATTCTTCCAGAGTTTCTCTTGGGGCTTAATTATCCTCTACATGGATAAGAAAATAAATATTAAAACAAAAAATCTGGGTAATATTTTTTAATGAGCGGTTTAGACAAATGCCAATCATTGTTATTAATAGTGTTATTTTTAAATTGCCTTGTAGGGAAAAGCCTTGACTGGAGTGAAAAGAGAAATGAATTTGTTCGCGGATATAACCATCCCTGTGGTTGGTTTTGTGTTCCACTTAAAGACAATCCAAACCAGAGTCTTTTGACAGGCTATATTCAGACTGATCTCGGAGGGATGATTCCTCATTCGGCAGTAGATATAGCCATGGCAAGCACGTTAATCAACTTTTATGGTGATTTACAAAAAGTCTTACAAAAGGTGTGATATTTGCAAATCTGCAGTAACCATGGTCCCCTGAATCAACATTGTCTTCATCTGCATGGCCTGTAAAAATCATCCTCTCTTCTCTTCTGCACAACCTGTAGGATAACTTGAGATTTTTGGTTTAGTAGTAATTGTATTTTTATTCCTAAAGTAAACAGTTATCCAAGAGAGAGCATTTTAATTATCTTCACAGATATTTGCACATTGTTAAATTATGGCAATATGTCTAGAATGGAGAGTATGTACAGAATTTCACAAAGTGGACCGAAATGTAAGAAACTGAGTAGTATTTTAGTATGAATATTTTGATTGCTTAGAAATTAAAGAAAGCATAAATTTCTTACCATCAGGTTAAAATTACCTATTTTAGAGCTATATAAACATTTTATAAAATTTTAATTTTTTTGAAATATAGTGCTTTATGTTGTATATGCTCTCTGAGTTTGGCAATAGCTTGGACAAAAGAATAAAGCTCTTCTCTATTTTTTATAAAGATGAACTTCATTGTTAATATATTGGTCATTGAAAAGACCAGAAATAAGAACAATTCAAGTGCAATTTGGCTTTGATACTTTGCATGTTTTGTTTTGCTAATGTTTTGATGACATGCTTTTGTGCACATCTCTAAGAACATCTTTATGTGTTTGCATGCATTTACTTCATCAATCTTCAAAGCATTGATGTATGTATAAACATAGCAAAACAAAAAACGCTAAATACATGATGCTTCTAAAAGTGGGAAAATTCCATTATCTGTTAATTCCATTTTTCCAGGAACTTTCTGAAACCTCCTCCTATGTACATGGGGACATCACATTGAATTGGTCTAGGTTTTAAAACATAGTGGTGATCGTATAAAGAATAATCTCTCTAGAAAATTAAATTTAAGAAATATTTTATACATGTTTTAATTTTAAAAGATTACTCTTAAAACATTGCAAAGTAGATCATAAATATTCACAATTGTGATATAACTTTGATCTAGAACAATGGCACATTTTTAGCTTTATCCGAATGCCTAGATAAGTAATTTCATAATGATTTGAAAAGACTGCATGGGTCCTTCGAATCTGGCTGCCTTAAATGAAGATTCCTCAATGAATTTTCTTTATTCTTTGACTTTTGAGATGTCCATATAGTTTATTTCTAAAATGAGATCTTCAGGCAATTCAGTGTGTCTATGCAAATCTTCATATGATATATTTTGTATACTTGTACACATCTTAAATCCATTTAAATGTCCAGTGTCTTTTTTTTTTTTTTTGCATTGGCTGTGTTACTGTCACTGCTTCTTTTGGGTTAATATACAGTAAAGCGAGCCTGGAAGCCGTTTTGTGCTAGACAGGCCACAAAAGGCACAAACATAGTGGTTCAAATGCATGAAGTCTTGATCTTTTAATAGTTTACTATACTTCTCTCCTTGTAAGAAAAGAGTATGTCATAGCTTTTGAAAAGTAGAGCTGTGTTTTTGTTTTTATTTATTTTTTGTTACTCAATAGGATGGCATTTGAAAATCTAAAGATGGGAACATCACAAAGTTCAAAGTTAATAATCTCAGTTTCTTGAAAAATAATTTGTCTCATGATCTGACAGAAGTGATGCACAAATGATTTTGTGTGCTTAATAAGCTTACTAACCTCCAGTATCCTTTTTAAATTGACTCATTTTTGAGTTGCTGATACTTTTTGGTACAGCAATAGAGAATAAAAAATCAGCGGTTTAGTTTTGTTTCCGAAGGAAATTCTTAAATATTAATCCATCCATTTTCTTTTATTTGCTTTTATTAGTGTAGAGTAGGAGATTTTATATTCTGATGTTCTGTCTAGGATGCTGAAATACCAGCTCTTCTCTATTCAATTCTATAGTGCTTAGCATGGGTAAACGATTTGTGACAAGGATGCACATCAGTATAAGGGCTATTACTGCCTGAGCTGGGTGCCTCCAAATGCAACTCAACTGCCCACTTTTAGCTACTTTGGTGTCTCTCTATCCTTGTCATCTCACACCTCCAGTAAGTGATTACTTAATCCACTGTGGAAAGTGATCCCATTGCAGATGAAACTTCCTTGCAGTATAGGACTATATGATAGATTGGAAAATTATAGTTCAGTTACCTGAAATTTATATGCAACTTCTAGGTGGTGGCACTTTGTTTTTGCATAATCTATCTCTGTGCTTTGGTTTTGTTTTGTTTTGTTTTGAAACAACTTCATTGAGTTATAATTTGTTGTTATTAAGTACTGTCCAATCAGTTTTGACTCATAGCGACCCTGTATAGGGTGTCTGAGGAGCAGCTAGTGGATTTGAACTGCCTTCCTTGCAGTTTTTAGTCTACAGTGCCACACCATGATATAATTTACATACTGTAAAATTCACTGTGTTCAATCGTTTACATTTTAGAATTGTTCAGCCATCCCCACAATCTAGTTTTAGAACATCTCCATCACCCCCAAAAGATCTCTTTGCCTGTTTGCAGACTCATATCTAACCAAAGTTTAGCACAGTTGTCAATATATGGAAAATGGCAAAAAATACATATCAGACTATTATGAACTCAGATGTCATGTGACTACATGGTTAGCTTTTATTTTTAAGATTAGAAGTGTTCTTTATTCTAACTAAGCTCAGGAACCTTGTGGTAATATGTTAAATATGCTTTCTCAAGTCTATTATTTCTACAACAGTGCTATAGGATAGAAAAAAAAATGTGAGCCATATATGTAATTTAAAGTTTTTTAGCAGCCACAGTAAGAAAACGAAAAAGAAACAGGTGACATCAAATTTAATAATATATTTCATTTAACTGAGTATACTTAACTATTACCATTTTAATAATGTAATCAATATAAAATTACTGAGAGAGTTCACATTCTTTTTTGTCTGAATTATTTCACATCTGGTGCATATCTTACTGCTAGGCTAGCCACATTGTAAGTGCTCAGATAGCCATGTGTAGCACAGTTCTATAATAGACAGATTTTTTTGTTTTATGAAGGAGAAAATTTCATTAAATTTTGTCTTATGTATAACTTTTTCTTGGTCCCCAGAGTGTCTTAAAAATTCTTGCTAAATGGACCCTGTGTACTTCAGAAATAAGTCAATTAGTAGTTATCAAACAAAATCAGAATTATAGCCAAAAAATACTCCCCTTTAGGGATATTTCTTTTGTTGGAGCATTTGAAAAAATGAAAAACCTATAATCTGCCTTGTTGTTATGTGGTTGATCATTTCCTGTACCTCATACATTTCCTGTACCTTATATGGTTAATTTGTATTAGAAAAGTGAATGTAGGAAATACTTGGTATATTACTATTTCCAGTATATGCTACTTTTTTTTTTTCCTTTTAAGGAAAATATGTTTTATGTAAGAAAAAATTATTTATTGTGATATTTTGCATTAAATATTAATTCTTATTAATTAACTTCTGATTAACTCTTGGACTTTAACACAGTACCCATCAAAAATAATTATGAGCATTTAATGTTTTGCAGTTATTCATTATATAAGCAGCTAGAGTATTCAATTATAATTGTTAAGAATCTCTTTATTTTGTTGTTCATTGAGACTAGGCATCTTTGAAATTGTGGGTGTCTTATGTATAAAGTTGTCTCCCAGTTAAAATTTTCTTTCATTTCCTCCCTCCCCACTCGTTCTTTTCCTAACTCAAGGACATTTTATCAGCACCAAGGTTGAATTCAATTAACATCACAAGCTAGAAACCCTGTAACTGAGGTTGCCTCTGAAGAAGATAGGAAAACGTTTGTACAATTTAAACCGCTAAGTATCTATTGCGTTTTATATATGAGTAATTTCTCTTGATGGAAGTTTTACCTGTTTACTCAAAAGCATATTGTTGTTGTTATTAAGTGCTGTCAAGTTGGATCCAACCCATAGTGACCCTATACAGGGTTTCCGAGGAGTGACTGGTGAGCTTGAACCACCGACCTTGCAGTTCAAACAGCTTTGCAGTCTGGCGCATTAACCCACAGCACCACACCAGGACTCCCAAGAGCATGCTAGCATCCAGAAAATCAGTTGTTAGAACCCAGTTTCTTTTCATTAAATGGGTATTATAGCTACAACCTCGTAAACCCTGTTCAGGGTCGCTATGGGTCGGAACCGACTCGATGGCACTTAACAACAACAACATAGCTATCAGAAACCTGTAGGTAAATTAACCAAATCCAGAAGCATAAGGGACTTGACCAGGTTTTCTTTAGAATGTGTCTTATGATTATTTGCCTAGCGTACCTCTAATACCTCTCTTATTTAGCTTCCGGAAGTGGAGAATGGTGGAACCTGAGCATAAAAGAAACAGCTCTAAAGCACAGAAAGTTGGAATTACAAGTTGGAATTACAGTTTTTCACTCATTTTGTTATTTCCAAAGATTTTAATTGTATTCTTAAATAAAAATGTACCTCTTACAATTAAATTAAAGCTATAATATGTATAGATTTTATTTTTAAGGAGTTTATGATTGTTTTATGAACCAATATGTAAAACCAGAATATTTACTAATGTGTATTTATTTTGAATTGCTATGAAATACATCACAATAAAAGTTTCTAGCCATTCTTATTGATCATTGATATGATATATTACCTTAATCTTTTTGATGTTAAGTGCCATCGTGTCAGGTCTGACTCATAGCGACCCTGTATATGGTTTTTCATCTTCACAGAAGGAGAAAGCCTCATCTTTCTCCCATGGGGCAGCTGGCAGACTCAAACTGCAGACCTTGTGGTTCACAGTCCAGTGCTTAGCATATGGAATCTCTGTATTCCCTACCTTAGTGTTGTTGTTGTTGTTATGTGCCGTGGAGTCGGTTCCGACTCATAGCGACCCTGTACAGGGTTTCCAAGGCTGTAAATCTTAACAGGAGCAGAAAACCTCATCTTTCTCCTACGGAACAGCTGGTAGTTTCGAACTGCTGACCTTGTGGTTCGCAGCCTGATTCGTAACCACTACGCTACCGGAGCACCTTAATCTTAAATGCG